GAATTTTACGACTTCTAAAAATAATAAAAAATACTTCCCGACCTCAAAAATTTATGAAACTTTTTCCCATCATAGATTGCATTTTTCTTAGTCTCCCTGCAAAAAATCACGTCCAAATACCTTATATTGAATTATTTAGAGCCCATTATGACTCCTCGCGCATGGTTGATGTCTCCTCCTGTCAAAGGAGTAAATGCATAAAATGCTATATAGGGGGGTGTGTGTTGCCAGCATATGCATGGCAGCCCATGCCTTCCTAGCTGCAGCCCCCTTCCCCCACGCCACACCCATGTCATGTTGCCTCGATATGTTGCCTCGGTATTATGGGTTTGGTGTCGGGGTGGGGGGCTGCCACCCGTGGCGGTGGTGGCCGGAATCCGGCCGCCACCACGCCGCCGCCATGGGTGAGGTGGAAGAAAAAAAAAAAAAAAAAAGGCGTGGAAGTTGCGAAATGGGGTTGTCTAGGCTTTTTTTTTTTTTTTTTTTTTTTTTTTTTTTTTTTTTTTTTTTTTTTTTTTTTTTTTTTTTTTTTTTTTTTTTTTTTTTTTTTTTTTTTTTTTTTTTTTTTTTTTTTTTTTTTTTTTTTTTTTTTTTTTTTTTTTTTTTTTTTTTTTTTTTTTTTTTTTTTTTTTTTTTTTTTTTTTTTTTTTTTTTTTTTTTTTTTTTTTTTTTTTTTTTTTTTTTTTTTTTTTTTTTTTTTTTTTTTTTTTTTTTTTTTTTTTTTTTTTTTTTTTTTTTTTTTTTTTTTTTTTTTTTTTTTTTTTTTTTTTTTTTTTTTTTTTTTTTTTTTTTTTTTTTTTTTTTTTTTTTTTTTTTTTTTTTTTTTTTTTTTTTTTTTTTTTTTTTTTTTTTTTTTTTTGGTGTGCACCATCTTACTTCTTATTCACAATTACATGAACATTATGAGATTAATCCTGAGGTGATGGCTGCTGATACCCGATTCTTAGTCACAGCAGTGCCCAAAGAATAGGTTCAGCTGTACCTGAAGAAAAGAAGAATAAAGGTCCTCCTAAGTGTGTGGAAATGGTTGACTATGGTAGGTTGTCCCTCAAATAGGATAAACAGCTTTTCAGTTAAATATTTGTTTTTCACCTAAATAAGCTTAAAATCCTCCAAAAAATCATATATACCTTAGAACCACCAAATATCATGATTGGTTACAAAACAGTGCATACTATGTGCTGATGGAGAAAATGCAGTTGGATATTACTTGTCAGAAGTCACTAAGCAGTAGGATATTTCTAAAAGTTTGGAAAATTCAATGGTATCCTGGCAAAATGCAGATCACATGGCGCCTTAAATATTCTTCATCAAGCCGCAAGGGACTAATTAATGGTTCTGGGTTGTGAAGATGGCTGTAAAAAGTTAAAACCCACCCAAAACATACTAGAATATGAAGGCAATGATTTCTGAGTTAAATTTGGTTTTCTTGACTGCAAACCATTAAATTGGGGTCCTTTTGTTAGTTGCCTTATTCCATTGTGTACACATCTAAACATGAAAGGAAAACAGAAAACACACAGGACCATGTGTTCTTTGATCTAGTCATACATATTCTCTTCTAATGTTATAGAAGATGTCCTAATGTTATAGAAGATGTCCTGTAAAAAGTTACAAACCACCCAACACTACTAATATTGAAGGCAAATGATTATGTTGATGATATGATTGTGACTGGAGATGATCTGGCAGAAATGCAAAATCTTCAAAGTATCGGGCTTCCGAGTTTGAGATGAAGTCATTGGGGTGATTTGAAGTACTTTCTTGGGATTGAAGTTGCCAGATCTAAACATGGTATCTTTCTGTCTCAAAGAAAATATATTTTGGATTTACTTGCAGAGACTGGAATGTTAGATTGTAAACCAATTGATACCCCTAGTGAACAGAATCATAAGTTGGGGTTGTATCCTAATCAAGTCCTACAGATAAAGAGCGTTATCAATGACTTGTGGGGAAATTGATTTATTTATCTCATACACGTCCTGATATTGCATATGCAGTGAGTGTAGTGAGTCAGTTTATGCATTCTCTAGTGAAGATCATATGAGTGTTGTGATGCGCATCTTGAGGTATCTGAAAGTAACTCCTGGAAAGGGGTTAAGTTTTGCAAGTATGGTCATACAGATGTGGAAGGGTATACAGATGCTGATTGGGCTGGTTCGTCACTGATAGACGTTCTACGTTTGGGTATTTCACATTTGTTGGTGGTAATCTTGTTACTTTGGAGGAGTAAAAAGCAAAAGTGGTGTCTAGGTCTAGTGCCGAGGCCGAATACCGTGGATGGCTCAAGGTGTGTGCGAGTTACTATGGTTGAGAAGATTGTTTAGAGATCTTGGGTTTGGACCCCAGAAACCCATGGATTTATATTGTGATAATAAAGCTGCAATTGCAATTGCACATAACCCTGTGCAACATGATCGTACAAAGCACGTGGAGGTTGATCGACATTTTGTTAAAGAGAAGTTAGATGCTAAATTATTTCTTTTCCGTTTATATCATCTGAGTATCAACTGGCAAATGCTTGTTAACTTTGAACTGAGGAAGTAGGTGTCTAGATGAAGTAACTTGAGGCTAATCGAACTGGAACTACATGCTGAGATGTTTGTGCTTGGTGCTTGCCCTTTTTACATCTCAAAGGAGATGGGAAGCAATTCCTCCATTGACATACCTTTTGTTCTCTTTGTGAGAATGTGAAGGTAAAGAGTCCAACTTAGAAAGTTGAGAAACCTAGCAAGGGCTTATAGGAGTTGGGCTACTCCCCTCATTGCCAATTGATTTTGGGGTGGAACCTCAACTTCCTCATGGTATCAGAGCAGGTTAGCCCACGTGTGAAAGTCCAACGGCCACACGTGCTCCACGTCACCCAAAAATATATTGTCCACGTGTTAGCTTGAAAATTCACCACACGTGCGGGGGCATGTGAGAATGTGAAGGTAAAGAATCCCACATTGGAAAGTTGAGAAACCTAGCAAGGGCTTATAAGAAGTTGGGCTACTCCCCCTATTGCCAATTGGTTTTGGGGTGGAACCTCAACTTCCTTCACTCTTAGGCGCCATAGACCATTGAAATAAAATAATTATATAAAAAAACCCAACTAAGAGAAGTATAAAAAAAAATTTAATTATAACCAACATGCCAATCTTGTACATAGCAAACTTGTCTTGCTGTTGAGCCAAATGAAAGGCTCGTCCCCTATTCCATTATCTTTTTACAACAAATGATTAAGTTCACCAGTGTGAATTTAAACTCATCCTCTTTCACTCCCAGAAGATTGCTATCAACCCAATCGCACTTGAACAAAACAAATTTCACCAGTGTGATCGAGGATTTTGATCTCTCACACTAGCAGAACTCATAGTATTTGCCTTCAAAACAACAATAGAATTTGAAGATATTAGTAAAGGACATATAAAACCATTGAAAAAATGTCCCTTAAATTTTCATGCAAACTAATCAAGACCATTAGCCAACTAATGATTTCTTCAGAAAACACCATATTAGAAGTTCTTCTCTGTGTCGTCACCTATGTATCAAAGAAACATAATTAGGATTATGAATTAATCTACTCATGTATCTAGCTTTAGCCACAAATGACTTAGAGTACTTACATAGTTATTAAACCATGTGTGATATTAATGTTTCATTGTGAACTTTTTGAATATAGTGAGTGGTTCGTCGAGGCATAGCATTTCAAGGTGTTGGCTATATAAAATTACAAGTTAGGGAGAATTAATTATTGTAATTAAAAAATCAGAATCTTATGATGACTTACTTTGGGAAAAGTGTGACAACATTGTTGTTGTATAGTTTAGATTCAACCTAAATAGATTAAATCAAAACTCAAATAAAACTCGCAAGTGTACGAACCATAAGAAAATATAGCAAGCATAAATACGAGGTCATTCCTACAAGGATTGTTCTAATCCTATCTGGTTACTCAACTCAAGTTAAATCCTAACACTAGTTAATTCTAACAAATCTGATTTTGATGAAAGAAATATTCAAAAACCCATAAAACAAACAAAACTTAAGAGTGTAAACTTGTCATCTTTAGAATTAAATTCACAATAAAACAAAGAAGAAGCAAGAGTTGAAGTTTCTGAAAATCAAGAGAGCAAATACTAAGGATCCGATTTCACCACGAGTAATCATATTCCAGTTCTTAGCTATTTATCACCAAATCAAGAGAGCAAATATCCATGGTATTTGGTTTTAATGAAGTATTTCTAACATGCAACCTAACTGTGGTATCCATCTTAGATCAGCCCATCAAAAACCCATTAAAAACAAAAGAACATAATGATCTTGTAAATTATAGACATTGTATCTGCATAGAAATTCACACATCTCTTTCACAAAGCAACTTATCAAGATTAAGTATGGTATCTACTCCAATCCTACATCAGATAACTCATAAACAAATACTAGTGGTGGTCAATCACAAGCATTTGAAGATAAGCATATTAAAATACACTACTACGTTTTACGACTTGCGCGACAAAGTCAATTTCGTCACGCAAAGTTATATTCGTCACAGAAACAGTCGTCCCGCACAGTCCGCCACTCAAAGAGCGTGAAGAAAGACATAGCACCTTCATTGCAGAAAAGGTTTAGGGACGACACAACTGTTCGACGCACAAACTTTTGCACGACGAAAGGATGTTCGTCGCAACAACACTGCGCAACGGAAACGTTCGTCGTGCGAGATTCGTGTCGCAGTTTTTTGCGCGACGAATCTTCCTTTGTTGTGTCACGTTTGCGGGACGAACACACTTTCATTGCGCGAACATTGCGCGACGAAAATATAGTTTTCGCGCATACGTTTTTTTGCGCGATGGAAAACATCGTCGCGCAAGCATAAATTAAAGTGTATAAATAAAATTTTTTACGTTTTTTTCTTTCTAAAAAGTGAGTTTGCGTGACGAGAAACATTTCGTCACACAAAACAAATACAGATTATTTAAATTTAATATTACGTTTTTTTTATTTTGCAAAAAAATAAATATATATTTTTTTTTGGTAATAAAATGAAATTGCAATACAAAAATGAATTGTAAAGAATACATTTATTATATAAAATAAAATAAATGTACATTACAAGAGAAATATTTAAAAAATAATTATGAAAATTAAAAACTAATCAAATAATGTTCCAAAATCTACATGGTCGTCTAGGATATGTGGCTCGGGGATCTGGGGGTCTACAGGGGCCGTGGTATGGTGGGGATGCTCGGGGTGGACGGGCTCGGATGTTGACGCACCAAAATTCGGGATTGGAATGCCGGATCGAGCGAGGGACTGCAGAATCACCGACATCTGACCCTCAAGCTCGGCCACCCGTAATGTCAAAACAGTCACCTGACTATTTGCCTGCGACGATGACCGAGGTCTAGGTTCCCTCTGTCGGGCATTCCCATCCCTCGACAATATGTTCCTGGCCTCCATGAAATTGAGCATGTTTCCCATCTCTTCTCGAGAAACAAGTGTCCTATGCAAAATTGTGCTCAATTTCATAAGCGGCAATTCCTCCAATATCCCAGGCTTCTGCTATTCTATACGACCCCGCTATAAGTTCTATCCATATACGTTCTGATCGCCAACTCATACTATAACTAGACCTAGTTGAAATTTATTGGAATTGAGAGATATCTGAAATCCAGCATCCTGTGGAGGATCCACAGACTCAATCGGAGTCTCGGGAGGAAGTTGGGAGGCGGACTCCTGAAGAACCAATTGGCTCCTCTCCACCATCGTCGTCTATTTAACATAACATAAAATACAAATTAAAACATGCATAAAATTGAATGCGTAACATAAGAATTAAAATTAAATAATACTTACATGAAGGGACTCGGCCAACTCAATCCTAGGTCGAACATAAAAGTCACCAAAGACGTCGATCTCTGGGAATTTCGACCCCCCCTAAATGAACAAGAGAAGAAAAATATTAGTATGAAAAAAATTAATTAATAATAATGACATATTAAAAATTAAATATAAATTATTTTATTATTACCCACCGCCGTGCATCCATCCTATATGGTGGAGAAGAGTCTTCTTCTTCCTATTGCCCTTATTCACTTGGGCTTTATTCTGTTATACAAAAAATAAAACGTATTAGTTGAAATATAAAAATTAAATAAACATTAATAAAAAATGTGCAATAATTAAACAAATATTAGTAACAAATACCACATAATCGGGCACCTGAAATGAGCTTAGAGCCACGCCCAACTATCCTCCTGCCCCTCAAGCTCCTTCGGGCAACTGTCTTGAAGAGGGACTTGCGGATCATCAAACGCCTGAAAATGGTGGTGCAAGTCGCTCTTCCACTGCTTGTACCTCTCACCGAAGAGTCTGTTGACGTACGCCAATGACTCCTCGTTGAGGTCCTCTAAGTTATAGTTCATCTGCAATAAATTACTTACATACATTAAGTAATAGAAATATATAAAGCTTGAAAGAAAAATAATTAAAAGGTAGGATACATACCGACCACTGGCTGCGAACCTCCATCTTGATCTCGTCAGGCATGACCTTCCAAGACTTCCATTGCATCGGGCAATGGGTCTTAACGACGTGGCCAATGTCGTGGGCCAAGGAGCTATGCAACTCCGCCGTCGGTGCAGCTCGATGGCGCTCGTTGTATCAGATGCTAATACGACTGTTGGTCACCTGGGTGACCTTCGCCGTCTTCAACTGCCGACACGGCCCTCGGGTGTTCTTCTTGGCAGCAAAGAGATATGAAAATAATGTTAAATAAATTACAAATTTAACTATAAAATTCAGAATATAAAAAATGAAAAAAAGAACTACAGTTGAAGGGATATCTATACCTGGCTGTGACCCCAAGGCACCAGTACCGTCGGTCGACGTGGTGTCGGTGGTGCTGGCGAGCCGGTGCCGCTTCCTGGTGCTAACAGGTTGCGCCATTGATGAAGCTGATGACGTAGGCGCCTGGGACACCCCCGGGACCAACTAGCACTTGGTCCATCAGTGCTGGAGCAATGGCAGCAGATGCCGGCTGAGTCTGGGGCTCCGAACTCGGTGTAGTTGTCATTGACCTACGACGTCTAATCAGGTCTCACAACCCATTAATACACATACAAATAATCAAATTTACGAATATATACTTAAGCACGTACATTAAGAATTTGAACTAATTAATTAAAAGAATGACCTAGGGTTTGCAATTTCGGAATGTCCGGGACTCCAATCCACGATCCGTCGAATCCTATACAATCCTAGAAATACAAGGTGCAACACACGTGAGTTTGAGTTCGATCCAACGGTCCGAAGATAGAAAACCTAGAAATCGCACAATAGGCGAAATCCGTTCGAGACTCAAATGGTAACCAAATTAAAATCCGAGCACACCTACGAGCTCGTGAAAAATAGGGGATTGCACTGGGACCCAATGCCCCACTGCCACAATCCCCCACATGCCACCACACGCGCTAGCAACGCGTGGGTGTCCAAAGCAATAACAATTGCCGGAAAATTCTAAAAACTAAGGGCTAAGGTTCCTACCCTAGGTTCAAAACATCAATTGGAGGCACTTTTGTTCTCGGACCTACCCCGAAAATTGGCCGGAAGTGGCCGGAATTTAATTTCAAAAACCGGCCAAACTTAGGGTTAAATTCCAAAAACCTATTCAAACAACTAACCAAATCCTAATCAACCATCAGCTAGAGCACAAAAAATAGTCCAGAAACCATACCTCAGGCATCAGAATTGTCAAACGAAGCAATTTCCGGCCCCACCTTCGACGGTGACAGCAAGGGAACGTCTGGGCTTTGAAGGTTGTGGCGGCCCGGTCCTTTTTTCCGGCGGAACATCGGGGTTGAGGTGACGGCAGAGAGAGAGGCAGTCTAGGGCAGAGAGAGGAAGTGAGGAAGAGAGGAGGCTGTCACAATTTTTCTGAAAATTTAACGGATCTTGCACGACGAAGAGTGCATTGCGTTGTGCAAGGTCCGTTTTAATCCACCTTGCGCGACGGAAATAAAATAATAACGTCGCGCAAGGTAGTTTTTCGCCCAAATTTTCATTACATTGCGCGACGAACAAAATAAACCATCGCACAATGTGCGTATTCCGCCAAATTTTTGGGTTTATGGTTTGTTGAAGGGTCTCATCATTTTGCGTGACGAACATATTATAGATTCGTCGCGCAAGCCTTGTTCTGTGCACTTTGCGCGACGAACAATAGGTTCTTTCGTCATGCAAAGTTGTTAATCCGCCAGAAATTTTTGGGTTTAGGGTTTATTGAACGGTCTGATCATTTTGCGCGACGAAGAGGAGATTATTCATCGCGCAAGCCTCTGGCAAAAATTTCAACTAAGTGTTCAAGGGGGAAAGAGTGAAAGGTCTAAATGAGATTGTGCGACGCACAGTTAATAGATTCGTCGCGCAAACCTTAGTTCTGTGCACTTTACGCGACGACTCATTTGTTTGTCGCGCTAAGGATCTTTGCGCGACCAAAATTTTTGTCTCGCATGTTTTCACCTTCTTGCGCAACGAATAATTTTTTTCGTTGCTGTAGTGTCTTTTTCGCGACGAATTTTCCTTCGTCGCGCAAAGTATCGTCGTGCAAATAGTAAAATGTAGTAGTGATAGTGAATAAGAACTCAAGCACATAATCTGAAATTTGGAAATCAAATAACTAAAAACTTGGAATATTCATACTAGGGCTACATTGAAACCTTAGAATGTAAACTTCGTAGCACATCATGTTTGAAGTTTTAGTGCACATAAGGAAAAAGGAAAACTGAAAACTAGAAAAGAAAAACCCTTGAAGTTGCAGGCTGTGCTCTCAGCTTTTCTCCTCAGCTTCTCTGGCATGAAAAACTACTCTCTATCTTTTCTGATGTAAAAATCCTCTAAGTCCAGCATCCAACATATACGTGCGTGAAATATTGGCTGACGTCTCCTTCTTATGGGCACTAGGATTCTTGCCCAAAAATTGACATGAATTAAATGGGAAATTGCTGGAATTACTGATGTGGCAATTGAGACTCCTAGTTGCATGAGGAAACTCATTTTAATGAGTATTCCTAGTCCTATGGGAACATCCCAAAGACACACAGCTTCACTTCCTTGTTAGGATAAGAAAAAGCCTCAAATTGTCCTGCATAACACTTCTTTTCTTCTTTTTTCTTTGATTTTCTACAAAACAACTAAAATAGAGTAAACAAACGCAATATACTCGAAATCTTAGCAAAATAGTAAGTGTTAGATGCATATAATTATATATATTTTCAGATCTATCTAAATTCTTGGGAAATGTCACAATCGCTTTGTGATTGTGTTCATAGACAACATTCTTCTATACTTATGGAGTCTGGAGGGTCATAAGAAGCATTGAAGGTTGGTATTGAAGACTTTGAGGAGGAAGCAGCTTTATGCCAAGTTTAGTAAGTGTCAATTCTGGTTGGATAGGGTGGATTTCCTTGGACATATGATCTTAGCGGAAGGAATCTATGTGGACCCTCGAAAGGTGAAAGCAGTTGTGAATTGGGCACAACCCAATAATATGATTGAAGTATAGAGTTTTCTGGAGTTAACACGGTATTATCGTCGATTTGTGGAAGGTTTCTCTACGGTAGCTGCACCCCTCACTTGGTTAACGAGGAAAGGAGTTAAATTTGTGTGGACTGAGGAGTGCGAACAAAGTTTTCAGGAGCTGAAGAAGCAGTTAACTACCGCACCTTTTTTGGCTCTTCCGGATAATATGGGAAATTTTGTGGTCTATAGTGATGCATTATTACAAGGCTTGGGATGTGTATTGATGCAACATGATCTGGTGATTGCTTATGCCTCGAGGCAACCAAGAAGCACTAGCAGAATTACCGTACCCATAACTTGGAGCTTCTTGCAGTGGTGTTTGCCCTTAAAATTTGGCGACACTACTTGTATGGTGAGACATGTTAGATCTTCAATGATTACAAAAGCCTCAAGTACTTTTTCACCCAGAAGGAGTTGAACATGACACAAAGGCATTGGCTTGAGTTGATTAAAGACTATGATTGCATGATTGAGTATCATCCTGGCCGAGCTAATGTTGTGGCAGATGCTTTGAGTAGGAAGTCTAGTGGAAGCCTAGCTCATCTTAGAATGGCTTATCTTCCATTATTGGTGGAATTGCAGAAAGATTGAGTAGAACTGGGAATGAGTCAACAGGGTGGATTACTTGCCAGTTTGCATGTGAGGCCTATTTTGGTAGAGTGGGTGATTGCAACCCAATTGGAAGATCCCACACCCTACATGATAAGATTGGAAGTAGAGAATGGTACACGGACAGATTATGCTGTGAGAGAAGACGAAGCCTTGGTAACTGGAACTCATCTCTGTGTAACATAAGAATGAAGATTTAAAGAGTGAAATCATGGAGGAGGCTCACTGTTCAGCTTATTCTATGCACCTGGGTAGTACTAAGATGTATCAGACATTACGGAGTACTATTTGTGGTCGCATATGAAGGGTGACATTGCTAGGCATGTGAGCAGGTGTTTGATTTGCCAACAGGTGAAGGCGGAGCGGCAGAGACTATCTGAACTTATGCAACCACTTCCGATCCTTGAACGGAAGTGGGAGCATAAGACATTGGATTTCATTTTCAAACTTCCACGTACTTCAAGATGGCATAACGGAATTTGGGTGATAGTCGACCAACTCACCAAATCCACCCACTTCCTACCTATTACAGAAACTTACTCCTTGGTGAAGCTTGCTAAGCTCTTTGTGAGGTTGCACTGAGCACCCGTGTCCATTGTGTCGAATAGGGATGCAAGGTTCACATCTCTTTTATGGAAGTGTTTAGAAGAAGCTATGGGTACTAAGTTATGGTTTAGTAATGCTTTCCACCCCATAAACCGATGGACAGTTGGAAAGAACGATTCTGACTTTGGAGGACATGTTGAGATTTTGTGTGTTACAGCTTAAGGATAGTTGGGATACTCATCTTGCCTTGGTGGAGTTTCTTACAACAACAGTTATCATTTGAGCATTGAAATGGTCCCGCATAAAGCTTTGTATGAGAGGTAGTGTAGAACTCTTATATGTTAGAATGAGGTGGGTGAGAGAAAATTGGAGAAAGTAGAAAAGTTCAGTACTGCGCAAGATCAAAGAAAGTTTATGCAGACAATAGGTCCAAAGATCTTGAAGCTATCTCCTTGGAAGGGTGTGATGAGGTTCGGGAAACGTGGGAAGTTAAGCCCTCGTTATATCGGACCTTATGAGATCACGGAACACGTCGGACTTGTTGTCGACAGACTTGCCTTACCTCCAGAACTAGCTCAGATTCATGACGTATTTCACGTAACTATGCTACGGAAGTACGTACCTGATCCTTCCCATATCCTGGAACATCAACCCGTGGAGTTGAGAGAAGACTTGACATATGAGGAACTACGAATGCAGATTCTGGATAGGAAGGAGCAAGTGTTGCGCTCTAGAACCATTCTAGTAGTAAAAGTATTATGGATGAGTCAAACTGTTGAGGAAGCGACTTGGGAACCCGAGGCCCAGATGCGAACCAAATACCCTTATCTCTTTGAATGACAAGTACGGAAATTTTGAGGATGACATTTTTATAAGGGGGGTAGGTTCTGATATCCTGACCCAATTTTAATTATTCGTTTAAATTATTTAATTTAATTAATTATAAAATTACAATTTTGCCCTTGGAGATAGGGTTATTTTGGTCACTTTTTGATATGGCAAGATTTTGGAGAAATGAAGGGTACTATTGCGTAGAGCGCGTTGATATGAGTTTGTAGACACGTGTGGGCTCAAATCGAAGTTGTAACGAAGAAGTTACGATCAACGCAAGTGCAGTGGCACAATCGTAAATATGTCTGTTCTTAAAAATCTGATTCTTTCTCTCTCTCTCTCTCTTCTCCCTTCGCGCAACATAACCACCCATTATTCAGCCAGCCATGTTTTGGCTGGCAACCACCACATTCGGCCATCCCAAGTGACGACGCCAGTGCCAAAACGTTCAGCTCACTTCCCTCTTCCTGCCTCACCCCATCCCCACAACGATCCGCTGCTCCAACCACATGACAATCGCAAAAACATGCCCGATTTTATGTAAATCTTTCGGCATTCGTTTCGACGATTTCGACCACCTTTTTTGTCGATCTAGGTATGCTTTCTCATCATTTCAACGTGCTCTAGCTGATGGTTGGGTTGATTAGGATTGATTTTTGAGTTTGAAACTCGATTTACAACTTAAAGTTTGGCCGGTTTTCGGCAAGTTCCGTTCACTTTTAGGCCATGGTTCAAGAACAAAAGTTGTTCCACTCGTTGTCCTGATCACGTACGCATAGGTAAAACAGTGACACATTCGATTGCGCGACCTCGAACGATCCGACCGTTCAATTTGGACCAAACTTTCAGGACATGTATAATAAAACTTGTTGATCCATAGGAACTTTCAAATTGAAAATTAGAGGCCGTGGGCCCAAACTTGGGATGTTTGACCGAGCATCTTTCGAGATTATTTCACCTTTCGAAACGCGTAGTTAGACCTTAGGAACTTTCCATTCGTCATACACACTTTGAAATCACGGAAAAAACTAGGGTTTATTTTAAAGTCTCGTTTGAATTATTTTATTTTAATCTAGTCTTTGTGTTCTTAAATAGGTACTCCAGCTACTCGTACCCAGCAGGCGGGACCCTCTCAAGGTCAAGCAGCATTTGACTATCTGTGAGTGGACTTTGTTTTTTAATAATAAACATTATTTTTATGATGGAAAACTATGCATAATGATTTATTGATTATTGACTTTATTATATAATTAATTGTTGAAACATGTTATTTTTATGAAAGTATTTGAAATACATTTGGGTATTGGCATATTGTGTTATCTTTGAGATGGATAATATATATATATATATATATATATCTATGTTGGTTTGAATGCGTGTTTTTCTGCATCATTTTCCAAATGGTAGGGTTATTATATGTTGTTTTCAAATATAACGTTATTTTTGGTCCACTCACTCGTTTTCTGTTTTGCGTCCCCCAGGCAGTAGATAGTCTTGAACCGAGCAGCCGTACCAAGTTGTGAACTTTCGAGCCCGGGCTTGTGTAGGGCAACTTCTACTTATTTCTATTCCATTGAACTTCATTTTTTTTTGTAACTGAATTTCGTAGATATGCTCTGTTATCGCCCATGTTAGGGTTGATTGTAAGACCGGAGGCCTATTATGTAAATTGCATGTTATATCTAGTGCATGCTACTGGTTGAGTTATAAATGTGTTTGACAGGTTTAAAATTTTTGGAAATGTCCGTTTTTCAAGGGAGGCTCTACCGAAATTTAAGCAGAAAGTCTCGTCCCTTCAGTAATGGGCCAGGCATCAGTTTGATGTCGAAAATGTTACAGGATTCGTCGCAGATTCCGAGAAATTCGGAGCGGGTCCTATCATTATCTTTATATTATATATATGAGTTGTGAATCTCACCATCATACGTACCTTCCCTAGTTACTATGCCTACACGTGGCGTTAGATTTTCTGGCGTGTGGGCTCCCTTGGATACGGATTACTGGTTACTTTACCACATGTGTGGCGTGAGAAATAACTAACGCACAAATTAAACCCTATAAATCATGCAATCGTAGTACGAGTAAGTTGGGATCGTTCTATTCCGGGGATTAGGAGGGATGCTAATCAACACAAATTAAACTTATTAAACTGGAAACTAAGTTAAGGGAACAATGATTGGGGGGAATTCTGACGATTTAGACTAAAGTAAGACTGACAGCAGCAAACAACTAAGTTGTGAATGAAATATGGATTAAGGGATAGCTAGAGGATTCTTCTCCACACATGGAACATATGCACACAAATCGATCTCCAGTTACTCTTTCTATAAAGTATGAATGACAAAGCCCCAAATTAATTGTGAATGCACTAATTAACTCTCAGATTTTCCTAAGTTCATTGAATTGGACTCAGCGACGCAATCAAATTATCCTTATCAAGTTCCCTATATGAACAGCATGATAGAGATACATATCAAAGATCATTAAGTTCTATGAAAATCATAAGCCTTGACAAGACAATTGTAACTATGAAAAGCATGATACTCCTGCCAAGAATTTACTTAACACAATCATGACTAGTGACTTTTACTACTTGTGAATATAAGTTCATAACGATTAGGTGAAATTCCCTTATATTCTAGCATCAAATCCCTGCATACAAACTAAGTATGCATCCTTAATAAACATGCAAGAATAAGTCCTCAATAAAACAGAAAAGTAAATCACATTCATACTTTATGAAACCATAACTGGAAGTAATCAATTCATGTAAAACATATGTCCATGGCTTCGAATTCACCTCTAACTAAGAAGAAATTCAGTCACACATGTTCATAATAATTGAAAAGCAATCTAGAATAAACATTTGAACTAATCAAGGGAAGAACTCTGAAAAACCCAATGGATGCAGCAGGTTCCGGCTCCAAGTTCTTCTTCTCCCTTTCTCCTTTCTTGCTACGGCACCAAAAGAACTCCCTTCTCCTGCGGCAACCCCTCCTTTATATATGTGGTAGATCTAGGGTAAAAGGGCCCAGCAGAAACCCACAAAATTAGGGTTTTGTTTTGGAAGATTTCTTTAGGAATTATAGGGCCCAACAGAAACCCACAAAATTAGGGTTTTTAGGTTTCCTAATATGAAATTAATCCCCCCTTTTCCAGCTGGAATTTAGGTCGAATAGGATTAGGATAAGGTAAAATAAAATAAAATCAGTTAGGGTTTTTTACTTCCCAGAAGCTGATTCTTGAATTAATTTCCCCATCTTTTTAGCACATTCCTAGCCTCTTCGAACTTCAAAAACGTCCATCCATCTTGGCCCATGCATATGCTATCCCATTCCAAGTCCAAAACTGCTCCAAAATGCTCCAAAATGCCCTTTCTTGCCAATCTTGCCATCTGGACCTACAATAGTACGAAAATAAGCTAAATCACTCTAATAAATGGGAATTAACTAAGTAAATGCAAAGAAATAAGATAGCAAAGTCGCATAAATATGCTCCTATCAAATTCCCCCACACTTAGCTTCTGCTAGTCCCTAGCAGAACAAAGAAAACAAAACAAAACCTAAACCTTCCAACAATTGCCTCAGGGATTTCCAATGAAACATGACATGTTAAAAATCACTACTCACACAGATTTGAGCCATCCTTACCCTCGAGCTCATACTTAATCACAGTAACCACTCACTAGCTCACATTTAATCAATTAAAACAACATTGAAAGTGGTAACATGCCTTAGAGAATTCACTCAATTCCTCACCCGATATACTCTCTATTTTCACACAGATTTTCTGACTACACTCCCTATACTAAGTATATGTGAGAAGATTGATGTAAACGTGTAGACTAGCACTCACATATGTTATAACAAAGAAAGCACTTTCTGGAATTATTAATACAAACATGTATATGATCTCATGAACGGAATGTTACTACTTAGAAGCGAGAACCAGGGATTCCATAAGCTCATACCAATTTCAAACTCCACATATTGAAACACATAACAATCAAGATAGAAGTCTAAGGGTTGTATGGGGGCTAAAGTATTGGCTAACAAAGAAGGGTTAAGGATAAACAAAGGTTCTTAAAGTAATAGTAAACAGAGCAATGAAATCAACACTTGGAATTCAACTTGTGATTGCAGCACCCAATTTTAGCACAAAGGGGAGATTTATACAACTTTAGGGTCAGATTCACATATCCCTTCTTCTTTTTTTCTCTCTTTTTTTGTGTTTTTTGTTTTTTTGTTTTTTTTTGGTTTTTTTGAACAACCCAAAGGAACAAATCCTTCCCCCACACTTGTAAATCGTAAATCAAAAGGAATTCCCAACAAGTCATGCTTGACTATTCTTTAAGAACAAGGGTATGGATATTCTTATACTAGGCTTGGTAGGGATAATGCAAGCTAACAAAGAAATAAGCTAAATAAGGCTTCAAAAGGGTTAAACCTACAATGCATATGCAAGGGATAAGGCTTTTTGGCTCTGATGGTAACTAAACAACTTCATCTTGTTATTTGTTACGCAATCAATTTGATGCTTTGAATGGAACGGGCATGAGTTCTAGTATTTGGAACTAAAGAGATGAAAAAGCATTCTAAGTAGCAACCAAGCAAAGAAATAATGAGATCATGCAACGACTTTAGAAAACAAGAATATCAAGATTAATAACTCTCCAAACAAAGAACAGGCTCAAGTCTCTCAGGGTTGTAGCGTTAGTTTGAGTTCCTTCCTTCCAGCATGTTACAAAAACTGATTATCTTTTTTTTTTTTTTTTTTTTGTGTGATTACATGTGAATTCGTAATTGACAACTTTAGTACCAAGTAAATAAGAACGAAACTTATCTAAAGCAAACACAACAACAAGGAGTTCTTTTTCAGTGGTGGAGTAATTCAATTGAGCATCATTCAAGGTTCGGGATGCGTAGTAGATGATGTGTGGCTTCTTGTCTTTCCGTTGTCCCAAAACAGCCCCTAAAGCATAATCTGAAGCATCACACATAAGCTCAAACGGAAGGCTCCAATTTGGTGGAACAATGATAGGTGCCGAAGTTAACAATTCTTTGAGGTGATTGAACGCCTTCTCACATTTGTCATCAAACACAAACGGCACATCCTTTTGTAGAAGTCGGCACAAGGGTGTTGAAAATCTTCGAGAAATCTTTGATAAAACGTCTATAGAATCCTGCATGTCCAAGGAAAGAACGAACCTCTCTCACCGAAGTGGGAGAGGGTAAGTGGCGTACAAGACCTATTTTTGATTTATCAACTTCAATTCCCTTTTCTGAAACTATATGTCCTAAAACTATGCCTTGTTTTACCATGAAGTGACATTTTTCCCAATTTAAAACAAGGTTGGTTTCAATGCAACGTTTTAATATCAACGTGAGATTAGTTAAACAGCCATCAAAAGAGTCACCAAAGACACTAAAATCATCCATGAAAACCTCATAATCTTCTCAACGAAATCAGAAAAGATACTTACCATGCATCTTTGAAAGGTGGCTGGTGCATTACATAAACCAAATGGCATTCGTCGATAAGCAAAAGTACCAAACGGACAAGTAAAAGTAGTCTTTTCTTGGTCATCTGGGGCTATAACAATCTGATTATATCCCGAATAGCCATCAAGAAAGCAATAAAAAAGAATGACCAGCTAACCTTTCAAGCATTTGATCAATGAACGGCAAAGGGAAGTGATCTTTCCTTGTGGTGGCGTTGAGCTTCCTATAATCAATGCAAACTCTCCAACCTGTTTGGATACGAGTGGGGACAAGTTCATTCTCTTCATTTTTTACCACAGTGACTCCTGATTTCTTTGGTACAACTTGAACCGGTGAAACCCAACGACTATCCGAAATTGGGTAAATGACCCCACAATCAAGAAGCTTAATGATCTCCTTTTTCACAACTTCCATCATTGGAGGGTTGAGTCGGCGTTGAGCCTCTCGAGTTGGTTTAGCCCCCTCCTCTAGAAGTATGCGATGCATGCATGTTGTAGGACTAAGTCCCTTGATGTCGGCTAAAGTCCATCCAATGGCTGTTTTGTACTCTTGCAACACCCGAACTAGTTTTTCCTCCTCCACTGCCGTGAGTGATGAAGAGACTATGACGGGCAAAGTCTCTTTATCTCCCAAGAAGACATACTTCAAATGATTCGGTAACGGTTTAAGCTCGAGAGTGGGTGCCTGAATCACCGAAGGTAACAACTTGTTAGTAGAAACGGGAATTGGAATTGGGATTGGGAGGCTTACCAACATATTGTGGCAGTGACTCAAGGGCAGCCACCATCTCGCCAATTTCTTCATGATTAGGTTCGGCCCCATTTTTTATGAGTTCAATTCCTTGAACAATGGTGGTTTCAAGGACATCCCTATCTAGGGATTCGAGATATTCCTGTGCCAAAAAATCAAATGCATCAATAGAGAAACAGGAGTGATCATCAATAGGGTACCTTATAGCTTCAGAAATATTGAAATCAATGATATTGCCATCAAATTCCATTGTCAACGTCCCCTTGACACATCGATCTTGGTTCGGGCTGTTTTCATGAAAGGTCGTCCCAAGTAAGATTGGCAATGGTGTAGAATGGGCCAAATCCTCCATCTCAAGCACATAAAAATCTGCTGGAAATATCAAGTGGTTAACCTGCACCAAAACATCTTCCCAAAACTCCTTTCGGATATGCATTAGAACAATCGGCTAATTGAATTATAACGCCATCATTTTTAAGCTCTCCTAAGTTCATAGATGCATAAATAGAGTATGGCATGACATTAATGGAAGCACCTAAATCTAACATGGCATGTTCAAACTTGGTGTTACCAATAACACAAGGGATTGTGAAACTACCTGGATCTTTGCATTTAGGTGGCAGTTTTCGTTGCAAAACTGCGGAAACATTCTCACTTACCCTTACCACTTCTTTGTTTGAAATCCTCCTCCTTGTTGTACAAAGCTCTTTCAAGAATTTAGCATACCTTGGAACTTGCTTTATTGCGTCAAGAAGTGGGATATTAACTTGTACCTTCCTGAAAGTCTCAGATGTCTTTTTCATTCTCTTCTTTCTTAGATTGCATAAACCTGCGAGGGAAAGGCACATTTGGTGGGATAGGGTTAGAATGAGTTGAATTTGGAACAACCTTACCTGAGTTTGGTTGTGTAGGAGCTTTGGGGGGACTGCAGCAAGGGTGGTTCCTCCCTTGCCGTGGCTTTGTCCACCTCCTTCTCTTTGAGCAGCAGCTTTTCGTTCTCTTTTGGGTTTTGTTTGGACATTTTGGGATTAGTTCCAATCTCTTTACCACTCCTCAAGATGATAGCTTTAGCCGTTTCAAAACCTCCTTTGGATTGACAATGGTTGAGCTAGGTAGTTTGCCTTCTTCTCTAAACTGTCCCATGAATTCCGCCATCTGCCCAATTTGCTTCTTCACTTCGCTCATCTCTTTGGCTTGATTTTGTAAACCCTGAGTCAAAGAAGTTAGTACTTGAAGCATTTTATCATTATCCAATGGCGAACCTGAATTTGATTGGGCAGTTTGTGGTTGAGGTTGTGCTGGTGCGAACGGCCTTTGATAGAGCCCGGAGGTGGCTGTCTATATCCGCCTTGTTGTTGTTGAGGCTCCCTCCACTTCAAATTTGGATGATCTCTCCAGCCCGGATTGTAGGTGTTTGAAAATGGGTCATACCTAGGTTGATTTTGGCCTTGATAACCTACGGCATTGGCACTTTCCCATCCCCCATTCTCTATTAATTGAGGACATTGATCAGTGGGGTGTCCATGCATAGAGCACACGCTACAAGTGGCTGTACTTTGCACTTTGGATCCTTCAACAACCTGCGAAATAAGAGTAGAGAGATTAGCCATTTGAGATTGAAGTTCCGAAATAGCACTTACCTCATTAACTGGACTTGGCCGTGTATGATCTCTCCCTCCAACTCCTTCGTATTGTTGTGCATTCAAAGCTCGGTTTGCTATAAAGATCTTCGCAGCAACTGGTGTTTTGTCAACCAAAGCACCTCCCGCTGAAGCATCAAGCATTTGTCTCTCCAGTGGAAGTAGTCCTTCATAGAAATATTGAATTAAAAGCTCTTCCTTCATTTGATGTTGTGGGCAGGATGCAACTAACGTCTTAAAACGCTCATAGTACCCTGGAAAGGATTCTCCAGGGCCTTGTTGAATTCCACTAATTTTCTTCTTCAAAAGGGACTGCAGTGTATTGAATGCAAAGAGGGACTGCAGTGTCCAATCCAGAGGCTGAAAGTTCCTTGATTGTCCGATTGTCTACAGCCATGTCTTGTTCCTCTTCCAAGTCCGTTTCAGCTTCAGATTCAGGTTCGGAACTAGAACTAGAGGGATTGAGTTCTGGCTGCTTCCTCTTCCTTCTCAAAGTTCGTTCGAAATCGTCGTCAAAGTCCAATATGTGCGCATGAACAGGGTGTGAACTTCGAGTCATAAACTAGTACCTAAAACAAAGAAAACAAAACAAAACAAAATCAGAAACACAAGAAAAACGAAAACAAACGGAAGATTAGCAATTTTGCTAATCCCCGGCAACGGCGCCAAAATTTGGTGTGAGAAATAACTAACGCACAAATTAAACCCTTTAAATCATGCAATCGTAGTACGAGTAAGTAGGGATCGTCTATTCCGGGGATTAGGAGGGATGCTAATCAACACAAATTAAACTTATTAAACTGGAAACTAAGTTAAGGGGAACAATGATTGGGGGGAATTCTGACGATTTAGACTAAAGTAAGACTGACAGCAGCAAACAAACTAAGTTGTGAATGAAATATGGATTAAGGGATAGCTAGAGGATTCTTCTCCACACATGGAACATATGCACACAAATCGATCTCCAGTTACTCTTTTTATAAAGTATGAATGACAAAGCCCCAAATTAATTGTAAATGCACTAATTAACTCTCAGATTTTCCTAAGTTCATTGAATTGGACTCAGCGACGCAATCAAATTATCCTTATCAAGTTCCCTATATGAACAACATGATAGAGATACATATCAAAGATCATTAAGTTCTATGAAAATCATAAGCCTTGACAAGACAATTGTAACTATGAAAGGCATGATACTCCTGCCAAGAATTTACTTAACACAATCATGACTAGTGACTTTTACTTCTTGTGAATATAAGTTCATAACGATTAGGTGAAATTCCCTTATATTCTAGCATCAAATCCCTGCATACAAACTAAGTATGCATCCTTAATAAACATGCAAGAATAAGTCCTCAATAAAACAGAAAAGTAAATCACATTCATACTTTATGAAACCATAACTGGAAGTAATCAATTCATGTAAAACATATGTCCATGGCTTCGAATTCACCTCTAACTAAGAAGAAATTCAATTACACATGTTCATAATAATTGAAAAGCAATCTAGAATAAACATTTGAACTAATCAAGGGAAGAACTCTGAAAAACCCAATGGATGCAGCAGGTTCCGGCTCCAAGTTCTTCTTCTCCCTTTCTCCTTTCTTGCTACGGCACCAAAAGAACTCCCTTCTCCTGCAGCAACCCCTCCTTTATATATGTGGTAGATCTAGGGTAAAAGGGCCCAGCAGAAACCCACAAAATTAGGGTTTTGTTTGGCAGATTTCTTTAGGAATTATAGGGCCCAACAGAAACCCACGAAATTAGGGTTTTTAGGTTTCCTAATCTGAAATTAATCCCCCCCTTTTCCAATTGGAATTTAGGTCGAATAGGATTAGGATAAGGTAAAATAAAATAAAATCAGTTAGGGTTTTTTACTTCCCAGAAGCTGATTCTTGAATTAATTTCCCCATCTTTTTAGCACATTCCTAGCCTCTTCGAACTTCAAAAACGTCCATCCATCTTGGCCCATGCATATGCTATCCATTCCAAGTCCAAAACTGCTCTAAAATGCTCCAAAATGCCCTTTCTTTCAATCTTGCCATCTGGACCTACAATAGTACGAAAATAAGCTAAATCACTCTAATAAATGGGAATTAACTAAGTAAATGCAAAGAAATAAGATAGCAAAGTCGCATAAATATGCTCCTATCAATGTGGCGTTGTATTTTCCTACGTGTAGTAAAGAACCCGAACACATTTGATATTGGTTACTTTGCCCACACATGGCGTTGGATTTTTCAACGTGTGGGCTGACTTGGATATTGGTTACTGTTACTTTACCACACATAGCGTTGGATTTTCCAGTGTGTGGTAAAGATTCAAGCACCTTTGGTCGAGTGTGCCGTAAGCCCTGATGGGCAGTCTACGTGCATAGGACAGGGTTTGGGTTTGGTTTGGCCGCACTTGGCATTGGATTTTCCTGCGTGTGTGCTGTAGAGTGGTAGTCCCCCCGGTTGGACAGCTCATACCTAGACGCAGGGAAGAAAGTTGAAAACCCTGCGGGCTAGTCAAACGATCCCCGTGTTGGATTGTTTTCCCCCGGTACTTGTGATGGTGTGAGGTTATCATATATAGATATTATATTTTACTTATGAACTTTGTAGTTTATACCTATACAGTCGTGGAAGTTTTCATGGTCTATTTTTTATATATTTATATATATGTATACACTTAGTTATTTTAAAAATTTTCCTTACATATACGTTTTGTAAGTCTATATCTCGGGAAGGGGTTTGGTTAATTTATGAGAGTTGAGTTTGGGTACTGCTATACTATATTGGGATTGTGGAAAGTGTTGTTCGGCAACATACGCCTTGGATAGGGTATGGTTGCGGGGAAAGAACTGATAAAAGGAAAGGAATTTATAAAGTGTTTAGTGTGTGCCTCATCGAATTTTCTATTGTAAATGAATCTCAATTTAATCGTTGGTATTACTTTAAATAATCGTAATTATCTGAATCGTGATTGTTGATTTAAGAACTACATGTGGTTTGACCCCTCACAAAGGGGTACGTAGGTAGCCTAAGATTTAACCTGGGTGCAGCGCAAAATAAACTGTTTGAGCTGTGCTTGTATTGTTCTAAGTGTTAAATGAATTTTAGAAGGAGAAAGGTCTTTTTTTATTGATGTTATGATATTTGTTACCGGAGTACGGATTTACAAAGGAGTTCAAAATCAGAACATTTTAGAAAATGTTTGGTTATGAGGCCGGAGGCCTGTTTGTTTGTTGTGTGCGACGTACTTTGTGCATACTAAAGTTTGGTGATTTAAAACTGTGTTTTTGGCAGGTTGAAAATTTGGTAAAGTCCGCTTTACAGGGCAGATTCTGCCAAAATTTCGGTAGAAGTCTCGGCCCTTTTTTCCTTGGTTTTAAGGGGAAGAGAATGTTGGTAATTAGTAATGGGCACAACATCAGTTGGATGTCGGAAAAACCACAGGATCCGTCACAAATTCCGAGGAATTTGGGGCAAGTCCTGTCAACTTGGTATCAGAGCATTAGGTTCAAATTTATGTGGACTCTACACCTTGTGTGCATCCTTAAGTCTTTGCAGTGTGGTGTGTTCCGGTGCAAAATGGTGCCTTTTCGATGTGAAGGATGTCACAAATTGTATTAGAGATGCTTCGTAAGTTCGTAACCCTAGAAAACACAGTGAACCCTATGTTCGGGGTCACAAAAATCTGAGTCAACTGTGAGTTATGGCAAACCTAATTGAGAAGTAACGGTGTTTTGGGTAAAGTGTTTGAAGATTGCATTATGGCTGAGTGTTGCTGGAAACATGGTGAAGGTATTAACACATGGGAAGTGATTAACCAAAGTAGCTAAGTGAGTAAGGATTGAGTTGCATGTCGTTCAGATTGGACCAATGGGAATTCATATGGTTTGTTATATCTTGAAACAGTAAGTGTCAGAATTGGATTTGGTTGGGCGTGTTTTCAGAAGAATAAATTGTGGTGGATTCTCAGGAATTGGATGGGGTGGTGTATGGAAACGTTGTTGTGGAGGAGTTGGAGTATGGAAGAAATGAGTGGGAATTGGAGAAACGTATGCCTGTACACGTATCTCTTTCGGCGACGTGTTCGAATTTCGAGGATGAAATTTCTTTAAGGGGGTAGGTTGTAACATCCCTAACCTAATTTAGTCGATTTAACCCAATTTAATTCTTTTGTGAAATTACAATTTTGCCCTTGAGCGTAGGATTACTTTGGTCACAATTGCATAAAGCTCGCTCTCACGAGTTCATAGACACGTAATGGGCCCAAATCGGAGTTTTAAGGGAAAAGGGTGTTGGTAATTAGTAAGTGGGCCCGGGATTGGTTGGATGTCAGAAAAACCACAAGATCTGTCACGAATTCTAAGGATTCGGGCGGGTCCTGTTATTTATGCATGAAATTTATACTTTAAAAAAATGTTTATTCAAAACAAATTCCACTCAAAGAAAGTCCAAGATGGTATGTGGCGGTCCCCGCCTACTGGCTAGCCAAAGCCTGAGTACCTATTGAAGAAATATCGAGATATGCTAAAATTGTATTTTGAACACGAACTTTAAATTAGAAAGAAAACTCTAATTCCCGGGATTTAATGCATAGTTCACGTTAAGACGGTCTCAATAGGTTCATGGTCAACGGTTTGGTCAACTTCCCCTTTTTGGTCAACTCGGGCTCACAGGGCCCACGACCTTTGGTTTGCAAACCAATAGTTCCTAAAGGTCCAACTCAAACAAACAACAAGTCCTGAGGGTTTGGTCTCAATCGAGCGGTCGAATTACTCTTGATCGCACAATCAGACAGTTATGGGTTACCCAACGCTAAACTCTTTGAATCGAAGTATCCGGGACTCCGATTTTCCCATCAACCAATTCTTACACCATCCTAGGGATACAAGGAACCACATATTTAAAATGAAACCGATCGGACGATCCGAACCTATCGAACTCGGATATCGCCTAATATGTGAAATTTCATTTGATAGTAAAACAATAACCTATCACTAATCCTAGCATATCGTCGTGCTCGGGACGACATGGGGATTATTTTGGAACCTTAAGAGCAGCCACAATGGGTCCCACGCGTCGGCAGTGTGTGGGGTGTCTTGACTAATTTTCGGCAATCGAAAAATCCCAAACTGCCTGTCAATACCCATACCTACAACACCATCACAACTAGGGGAGTCACTTTTGGTCTTGGACCAAGGCCAAAAAGTGGTCGGACCTATCCGAAAAACACCACAACAGTCAGCTCAAAATCTAAGTTTTAGATCGAAACTCTAACACTCCAAATTGATCCTAACCAACCATACTATCAGCTAGAACACAAGGAGAGTATGAAGATTTGTACCTTGGTCGACGGAAATCGTTGTTGGAATTGTCGGAATCGCCTGAAACGGCGACATAAAAATTGCCCAAAAAACTAGTTCATGCAGCCACTTCTAATTGGGGTTGTCCAGCTAGGGCGAAGGGGTGGGCTGGGTAGAGGGGAGAGAGAGAGAGAGAGAGAGAGAGGAGAATTTTGGTGGTGGTCTTTGTGCGATTTGGTCTCCGAACGATGACGAAATCGCTA